GTAAGTTTGTCTTTTGTCATTAAAATCTGCTTTTTTTTTAAAACTGTCTGATTATTGATGCATTTGCTTTTAAATGATTTTCTTCATGAAATTATTTTGTTCTGTTTCTGCCAGGCAGTACTTCGTTAACGTTGATGATACGGTTGCCCAAAAGGTAAAAATGAAATCTGTCACATAATTTTCTCTTTGTTCTATTAACTCTTCTTCGTCAACAGATGTCACTTTCATTCAAATTCTGACACATGTTCTTTTGATACATTAGTTTATTGTAGTAATGGTGCGTAAAACATAAGCTCTTGTTTATAAACATGGGAATGAACTTATTTTGCTATGGTTTGCACACTTGTTTCAGTGTAATAGTTGAACTCATTGCGTCACAGCTATTGCTGTAATTCTTTCTGAACATGGTGTTCTGTTTTCTATGCACACTTCACAGATTGTTGTTCAAAAAGATAGTCCGAGAGGAACCCATTTTAGGCGAGCAGGGCCTCGTCAGAAGGTTTGGAAATTCTTCTGTCTTTGCATTTAAATTTTTGGGTTTTCCTATTGTTATTCAAATTCGGATAGAATGATATTTATTGTTTTATGTTTTCAGGTGTACTTTGAATCTGAGGAAGTTCATGCATGCATTGTAACATGTGGTGGCCTCTGCCCTGGTTTAAACACCGTGATTAGGGAAATTGTTTGTGGATTATACCACATGTATGGTGTCACTAGAGTTCTTGGGATTGAAGTAAGTGTATTTAGAACATCATTTGTTTCGGTGGATTGAGGGGTTAGTTAATTGTTTGAGGCTAATTTGTTCTTCTAGGGAGGATACAAAGGGTTTTATGCTCGAAACACAGTTCCTTTGACACCGAAAGTTGTAAATGACATCCATAAACGTGGTGGTACCATCCTTGGAACGTCAAGAGGAGGACATGATACCTCAAAGATTGTTGATAGCATTCAAGATCGAGGAATTAATCAGGTATATCTTTCCTGGTCTGCCATTTGTAGTTTGTACAAATAAGATTTGATGTTCAACATATACTGCCTTTACATTTGGTAAGTAATTCCATGTGTGAATTTGAGCATTAAAACTAGATATATCTCAGGTATACATCATCGGTGGAGATGGAACTCAGAAAGGGGCTTCTGTGATATTTGAGGTAATTGATATGGATTTTGTTATTGAAGATTGAACTTAAGACCAAAAGGCTGTCCTATGTGTAAAATTTGCACAACTATAACTTAGGGAGGTGTTTATTTGAAAATGGTTGTCAGCATCTGATTAGTTTTTTATAAACCAATCTTATATGCAGGAGATCAGAAGGCGTGGCCTCAAAGTTGCAGTAGCAGGAATTCCCAAGACCATTGATAATGATATTCCGGTACTTACAGCATGCACAATCGGCAGACACCATGTCATTTACTCCATATTTTGTTGCAGACAAGTATGGTTTATTATTTTAAAAGTACAAATATTGAATAAATATTTATGATCCTTTTGTAACAGGTTATAGACAAATCTTTTGGTTTTGATACTTCTGTTGAAGAGGCTCAACGAGCGATTGCTGCAGCTCATGTGGAATCAGAAAGTGTTGAAAATGGTATTGGTCTTGTCAAGCTGATGGGTCGGCACAGCGGTAAATTTTACACCTCTATGCTGCTATTTCAAGTAGATGATTGTAAAGATTGGTTTCGGATGTTGCATTGCTATACTGAAATGTTCCTGTGGTTTTGAAAAGACAGATGAAGATTGAACTTCATCTTGCTGCAAAGTTCCAGCAGCCATGTTTATTTGATTTCATTTCTGTACAGCACGTGTGTTTTCTTTTGAAGAGGTGTCATTGTTTCGTTGCCTTCTTCATTTTGTTCCCGTGGTTTGTTAAATTGAAGAATCATCAATTTGCATGGTGACACTTTTTGTTGAGATCTTCTTCGACCTGTTTATCAATTGTTTCAGAACTTGGAATGTTTTTCATAGGATGGTTTAAGCACCAGATAACTTCTTTCTTCCTCATGTATTAGTACGGATATTGCAGATGGTTTCTTGTTACAATCATCCTATGGCTATTCCTGCTTGCATCCTACACTAAGTAAATTCAGTTGTTTTATGTAAAACGCAGGGTTTATAGCAATGTACGCTACTCTTGCAAGCAGAGACGTGGACTGCTGTTTGATCCCTGAGTCACCATTTTATCTTGAAGGAGCAGGTGGACTATTGGAATATATTGAAAAAACACTAAAAGAAAATGGGCACATGGTTATTGTAGTAGCTGAAGGTGCAGGACAGGAGTTTCTTTCTGAAAACATCCGTACCATCGACAAGCAAGATGCTTCAGGGAACAAGCAGCTCCAAGACATTGGTTTTGGGATATCTCAGAAAATAAAGGTAGAGATGCTTTTAGAACAATTTACTGGTTTTGCTTCGTCCATATATTTGAATCATCTGTCTGCCTGGTGAGCGTTCTAGTATTAATCTCGAGATTGTACCTCGATGGCGTTGATAAAACTTTGTTTAACTGCCTAAGTTAAGTTAGGTGTAGGGGCCATTCCACAACACTCAGATATGATCTATATTTGGCATTCATCAGAAATCCAACCATTTTTGGTTAATGAGGGGAGCAGTGTAAATGGGATATTTTCAATTTTCATTCTACGAATACTTTTACTTCCTAAAACTGCTGCTTCACTGCACTTGTTTGTCATCTTTGATGCAGGACCACTTCAGCAAGCAGCCAAAAATGGCTATGAATCTCAAATATATAGGTTAGTTGGTGAAAACCCTGCATGGTCTTAGTCATCACTCTGTTTAGATTCTCTATGGTCCATATCGTACGAAACCATATAACCAAGCAAATAGCAATGCTTTTATTTGCTGGCAGATCCCACCTACATGATCCGTGCGATACCAAGTAATGCTTCTGACAACGTCTACTGCACACTCCTTGCTCACAGTGCCATTCATGGTACAATGGCTGGGTATACAGGCTTCACTGTTGGTCCTGTTAATGGAAGACATGCCTACATACCATTCCATGTAAGTTCCTGAATGAAATGACTTACATTGTCCTTGTAGTCTGTATGGACAAAAGTACCTACGATTTCCTGCTAATACATTCTCTAGATCCCTAGTTAACAAATGTCTACTTTGTTATGCGCAGCGGATTATCCAAAAACAGAACAAGGTAGTGATCACAGACAGGATGTGGGCAAGATGCCTCTCATCAACTAATCAACCAAGCTTCTTTAGCCCACAACAGCTCTCGGAAAAGAAGTCAGGGGAAGAAGTAGAGGAGAATCATATTGACTATTGAGGACTTGGAAATCAAGTAAAGAAACCTAATTGAGTCATTGGTGTGGCACCGGAGAATTTTGGTTTGTGATATCTCCTTGCTTTCTGGCTGCCTGTTTCTCTCTTCTCAATCTCCGGCATTCATATCATATCGTTTTATGCAAATTACATCCCATTGCTTTGGACAGTCTTGATGTACCGAGTGGTTATGGTTTTGTTGTGTACAAATGCTTTCTAAAGCATTTCAAAGGCTTCTGAGATTGTTTGGAAGCCAATTGGCAGGGCAGGGACTGCAGTTGAAATCCTTTGGTTCAAATTTCTAATTCTTTAGATCTCCTCTGACATGATGGGAATTACATAGAAATACAACTAAGTAAATCAAAAGCATAGAGAGGATATGATACATATTTTCTGGACCAATGATGTCCAACTCTTTCAGTGTTTAGTGAAGACATTATTGATGACCTCCTTCAAATCCTTGCAGCCAATAATCTTCATTTCCCCGCAATCAAGAATTGCTAATGATTTCTCAGCTGACATGGGAACAATACACCTCTTATATCCCAGTTTTGCAACTGTGCTTACTCTTTTGTCCATCCTCGGTACCTAAAATATTGCAA